TCTATCTATCTATCTATCTATCTATCTATCTATCTATCTATCTATCTATCATCTATCTATCTACCTATCTATGGAGAGAATATATTTACTTAACGGAACTGGTTCATGCCACTGTGGAGGTGGAGAGTCTGTGGTCTGCAGGTCAGGCTGCCAGACTGGAAACCCAAGGAGGATTTCTATGTGACACTCTTGAAGCAGAATTCCCACTTCTCTAGGAAACCTCAGCTTTTTTTTTGTTTTTTAATATATCTTTATTGATTTCAGAGAAAGGAAGGAAGAGGGAGAGAGAGAGAGACAGAAACATCAATGATGAGAGAGAGTCATTGATCGGCTGCCTCCTGCATGCCCCACATTGGGGATCGAGCCCGCAACCCGGGCATGTGCCCTGACCAGGAATCGAACCGCAGATCCTAGGTCTGATGCTCAACCGCTGGGCCACGCCTGGCCGGGTGGAAACCTCAGCTTTTCGTAAGGCCTTCAATGGGTTACCAGGCCCACCTCCACATTATCGCAGATCAGGAAATCCACTTAGAAAGCCAACTGCTTATGATGCTAATTGAATCTAGGAAGTACCTTCTCTTGTGTTTGTCCTAAGAACTGGGCCGAATGGACACGTGAAGTTAACCATCATGGTCCCTGTCTCTCTTTCCAGTTCATCTTACGGCCAACGCCCCCTTGACCTCTGGTTCTAGCTCCTCTGACCTTCCTCCTCCCCAGACGCCCCCGCTCCTCTGGGGGTGGGGGCAGGTCCGGTCCCTCTTCTCCCTCCTTGCCTAGTTAACTCCTACAGATGCTTGGATCTCAGCTGAAGCATCCCTTCCCCACTATCATCTCCCACACCCACTGGTGACACGGCAGGTTCCCCAAGTGTTTGACCCCATGGTGACATCCTGAGAGTGACTCTGTGGTCAGTGGGGCAGAACGGGTCTGTTCTGCTCACCACAGCACCCTGTGCACTGGTGGGCAGCAGCAGATGCTCAGGAAACGTCATCTGTGTGATAAAAACCCCAGAGCTCCAGGGGACAGGGGTGCTGCGAGGGAGCGAGGGAGCGGGGCAGTGGCTCTAAGTTCAGAGTGCCCCTGGTGACCTGGCCCAGCAGCTCAGAAGACGTGGAACCAAAAGATCCCACTTGAGAAATGCAGACGTGGCTGTGTGGGAAGCCCTCTCTGCAGGACGCCCTTCTGGACAACTCTGAACTCCAACGTTGCAGCCCAGGCCTGGAGGGACCCTTGCAGAAGACGGCACTCTGGCTGCCCACCCGCCTTAGGACTAGTGTGACATTTCCAGCGGGTTAACCATGTGCTGACCTGTATTTAAATGCTCTGTGTCGGCCTCAGTGCCAGCACACAGGGACACGTCTGCTTCACATGAAAGTCCACACAGACCTCTGTGAATGGATGATTCCAGGTCCCGTTTGGAGCTTTGCTGTGCTGATAAGTGCCCTGCAAAAACCTCCTGGGCCTGCTGGATGGTGAATGAGAGGGCGGGCAGACACCTTCCAGGAACCCTCACTCCAGGACAGGATATCTGGGGTGACGTGGAGCACAGGGAGCTGAGGCTCACATCCGGCCCCACTAGCTAATAGCTGTGTGACCTTGGGAAAGTTACGTAACCTCTCTGAGCTTGTGTTTCCTCATCTATAAAATGGGCTTATAACCATCACCACTCTGAAGTGATTATGAAAGTTAAATCAGTCTCCGTGGAGGGCTCTCGGAGCAGTGCCGGGCACACTGGTGCTCAATACACTTTAAACATACACATATATACACAGGCCCACATATATCTCCATCCAACAATACACATGCTCGTGGAAAGGCAGATAACCACCCCCCGCTGTCTATTTTATTTCTAAAATGAGAATCAGACCATGTAACTTTCCCGCTTAAACTTCTTCCGTGGCCCCTGCATGCCCTCCTGGAATGGAGAGCCCGCCCTCGTCAGGGCCGACAAGAACCTACACATCCCCCAAGTTCTCAGCACACACCTGCTTTCCATCCTACTGGCCCCGTCTCACGGCCTTCGTGGCTTCCTGATCTTAAGATCTGACCACCTTGTGACTTCATAAAACATGTTTTTTCTACTCCTTTCCCCCCTTTATTTTCCCGGGAAATACTTTTCTACTTCCTCTGAAACTCCCGGGTCACTCGTGTGCTCTCTCGTTGTTCTCCCCTAGTCCAAGTTTCTGAGATCAGGAGTCTTATCTGTCCCCTGGGCTGCTGCTCTCCCGGCTCCTCCGACGGTATCTGGCACAACAAGCTCAATAAACACTTGGTGCAGTGAAGGGGGCTCTCAACCCTGAGGCTGTGCTCGGGTCTCCCTGAGCCCTCCCGTCCCCCCACCAGATGGTCATGACTGCCCCAGAGCCTAGAAGTGTCCTCGACTGAAGCCATCTGCTGAGGTCTTTCCAGAGCCTGTGCCAGGACGTCTAAGTGCTGCTGTGCCCAGAGCCAGCCTGCTCTTCAAAGACGTGATCAACACCATCCAGCTGGCTGGAGACCATTACTACCCCTCTCCCTGGGCCAGAGAAAGGCAAGGATGCAGCCTTGATGGGCAGTTGCTCTATACATGCTCTGGGGAGCCCGGCAGTGCTGGGGCACAGAGTGGTGTTGCTAGAGAAGGTCTAGCTGCCAGGACTCAGCTGGAACCACAGACAGGTTCCTGCATCATCATGGCAGGGGTTCTGGACTTGCCTTCTCCCTGCTTAAATGCAGGGGCAGGTCCCAACAAGCCGGGCCACTGGGCAGAGCACACAGGGACCTGGGCCTCTGCCACAGGGGAGGAGTAGTTTAGTGGCTCAAGGATGAGCCTTGGGGTCAGCAGACCCGGGCTAGAGTCTAAGCTCTGCTGCTGCTTGGCAGCCTGATCTTAAGAAATTTTCCAACCTTCCTGCGCCTCAGTTACCTCATCTGCAAAATGGGAGTAAAAATATCAGCCTTGTCAGGTTGTTGGATTAAATGAGATCGAATAAGAAAATAATCCAGCACAGCTCTGGCACATGGTAAATACTCTGTAAACAGCAGCTCTGGAGAATTCCCGCAGACGGGACCTTGACCCTGCTTCCCTAAAGGCCGGGGGAGGCAGAGCTTCCCGACTCCTCCACATCCCGGGGCGCATGCTCTGTTCTGCTCACGTGTGCTTGTCACTGGCTGCATGGCTCTCCCCTCGTGCACGCATGTCTATCTTCCTCACTGGGTTTGAGATAAGGAGACAGCTTTGTCTCAGCTGCCCGTTTACCCCAACCCCATCCTCTAACCCCTTGGACCTAAGCAGGGCCAGGCCAGGTCCCGCCCTCTGCGTCAATCAATGATCCTTGTCATCTCCTCCTGTCACACTCACTCTCGAGGAGCTGCGTGTCTCAGCCTTGTGTCCTCCTGGTCAAGCCCCATCCCTTCCAGGTCCACCAGTGCCGTGTGTGTGTGTGTGTGCGCGCGCTTGCACCTGCATTGCCAGCCTCTTCCCATGGTGTCCTCTGACCCCACTAGAATCCCAATAGAAACCCCTTCTTCCAACAGTTGTGCCCCGAGGAGGGATGCCATCCTTCCCTTCTCCTCTCCTTGGGGTATCAGTGGCAGGACAACAAATCCAAGATCATGGTCCTCAGACCCAAATCAGTATCAGATTCCCTGGGTATTAACTGGGAGTGGACTGCAGGCACACTAGGGTCTGACCCTCCTCTCTAGCCCTCAGGGAGGTGCAGACTTGTGGAGTCTGTTTCCAGAACCAGGAGGCCTGGTGTTAGCAAACATTCCCTTCAGTGGGTGCAGACAGATGTTTAGGTTTGAATTCCTCCAGGACACCAGGCCTCAGTCTAGAAGGCTCATGGCACAGCAATGATGGAACTTAAGGCCCTACTTCCGCAGAGAGTGTTTGTGCCGTGACCTTGGGGCTGAGATGTGCCACATCTGCTTCCATTCAGCATTCAGTAAGACGCTGTGGGCCTGCTTTTAAACCGGGAGCTCACTGCTGACTTCTAGCAGGTGTCTCTGTGGAGTCTTTGCCTGCTCATGGGGAATGGCCTGAGTGGTTCTCAAAGTGTTGTCCAGGGGACCCTCAGGGTCCCCTAGGCTCTTTCAGGGGTCTATGAAGCTAAAACTATTTTTGTGATTAGATTAAATCATTGTTTTCCTTTTGTACTGTGTGAAACTACTGGTATCTCAGCATGAATCAAGGCAGTGGCGCCAAATGGCATAAATAAAAGCCAGTTTCATTTAAGGATTCCCTCAAGCAAAAAATTGTTAACTGCATTAAATCTTGACCCTTGAGCACGCATCTTTTTCATATTCTGTGTGACAAATGGGAGGTGTGCATGAGGCATCTTTGCCACACACGAAGTATGTTGGAAGAAAAGCACCCATGCACCTGAGTTACAAGCTAAACTAGCCTCCTCCCCTCCCATAAATCACCATTTTTACTTAAAAGAATGACTAGCAAACGGGTTCTTCCGAAATGGGTATTTAGTAGACAGTTTCTCAGGAATGAACAGGGAGTGACAGTATTTGTTGGCAGTGACAAAATTTGAGCTTCTAAGTGAAAATTAAAATTTGAGATCGGCGGGGAAAGTAATGGCTGTGGCATTTTTGAGGCAACGCAGTGTGTCAACACTGACAAGGACGGTGTAGCTCAGTGAGCCAGTCTTCTCCAAAGGACCAGTGTGTGCTGTTATAGGATCAGACTGGGGGGG